CAACTTTCTGGGCACTAACCTGGGCTTTTGTTTCAACACCTCTGCTGGTTGACTTAGCCTTCCGCGTGCTCGTCATGCTCAGTGGAAGCAGGCCAAACCTCCAAGAGGAGAGGAAGCATTTCAGTGGCACGAAGGGGCAACCTTGGGGCCCAGAGACACTTCTCAGGATCTGACTCACCGGATCTGACTCGAGGCCAGTGGTAGTATGTTGTGGGCTTCCTGGGAGTTGAATGTGCTGCTTCGGGGAGTATACTGGTTCTCCGTACCAGTAACTAGTCCAAACAGAACCTGACATATAAAAGCAAGAAGAGGAAAATGCAGGAGTTTACTGTCCACATCAAAAAGAAAATCATTTCTCCATTGGTAAGTACCACCACTTAATTTCTAACCATCATTTTAGGAGCTGTTCTTTTGAATGTGTTAGTATTTCAAAATTACTTTCTTTCACAAAATCTCATGGCCATGTTGTTCTCTTTCTGAGGTTTGTGTAAAAAGTTTATTAATCTCTGCCCACAATTTAAGAGTTCAGATCCCAGCTACCCCAGTGTGTGGGATTTTCTCTCATCATCTTTTAGCCTTTGCATCTCCGCTCAGCTACCAGTGTCCCACCTTGTCAACACTGCACCCTGGTTACTAAGTGCTGAGTAGGTTTACTGTGAAACGTGAGCCTGTGGCACTTCATTCACACTGAGGGTATTTGGAGGCAACTTACAGAAGTCCGCTGCACCAGGAGATTAAGGTTGCTGTTGAGGTACGGCGTGAACACATCCAGGTCAAAGGGGTCAATGAGTGCTTCCAAGTTGTCAGTCACTTTCTCCGTTCTTAGAAAAGGTTCAGCATTATGATTTTCCAAGTTTTTTTTAAGGATGAAGAAACAGTTTTACAGTATTTTCTACTTATACAAGTGCTGAAGTAGACTTCATGTCCTCAGTCAAGTCCATTCTTTCTCCATGTTGTGTTCTTCGGGCAAGCACTAAGAGCTCAAATTATACCCAGCAGTTATAAGATGGACCTCTTAGGCATGAAGTTCTGCCTACTTTTCTTGACCACAAAATACACCCAGCAGATGTGCACTAGTTCATTTGCTGGTAATACCATTTTTCCCCCAAAATAAGATCTAACTGGAAAATAAGCTCTAGTAGGATTTTTAAAGATGCTCCAAATGTAAGTCCTATTCCCCAAATAAACCCCAGTGAAGATCAATAGACAAATACATTTAGTACATCTATTACAATGTACAATGGTTGTGTTAAATTACAAAATAATATTACTAATTAAATGTAAAAATACTACTGACATTAATACTTGAAATAAATGATAGTACAAATGGTAATTAAGTATTTTTAAGTACCCAAGTGGGCATGTTTGGACAAGAGGTAAACACCTACGCAAACAGATGAACTCGAGACTTATTGCCGAATGACTAATTGGGGCACGTACACAAGGGACAAATAATGTGCACACTTGTAACAGACAGATGTGGGTGTGCCTAATATGATTCTTCACAGTTATACATCTTGTGTTGTAATGGACATAATTAATGCACTTGTGTGAAATAATGAAACATTTTCTGAATTTTGCTGTCTGCAATTTATTGCCACTTTGTGTGGGCCATCATTCCTGTCACTATTTTTGTTTCCTTGCCTGTCTCCTAAGTCTTAAGCTAACAGTTGATTTAATGGAGCCCAGTCTACATGAGGCCATGACTTGAGTAAAGAATTCATGGGATAAAATCATTGGTAGCTGTGTTGTCAAACAAGCAGGCTACACAGATAAGAGCTGCTCATTTAAGGAGAGCTCTATTGCTGGACGTGAGAGATTGGTGCCAATGGAGGAAATGGTGTTGTAAGAAATTCTGACTTGAATGCAGAGTTTGGAGAGTTCTGACAATGTTCTAGAAGACGACATGATTGTATCTGAATAAATGTAGATTTTTGTATAAGAGTAAATGTAGATTTTTATACACGAATAGATGTAGATTACTGTATGTGAATATAGATTTTTGTACATGAACAAATAAGACATCATCTGAAAATAAGCCCTGTTTGGTCTTTTGGAGCAAAAATTAATATAAGACCTGGTCTTATTTTTGGGGAAATGTGGTATGAACCCTCACAGTGTAGGACAAACCTATTAAATGGTCAGGAATAGGTTGGCTCTTCCTTTGGGGGCAACCCAGGAAAGGGATACAGATGCTCCTCAGCTTATGATGGGGTCATGTCCCAACAAACCACTGTAAGTGCAAAGTACTGTAAACTGGACCTGAGCACCGAACCCTAGCACCACCAACCACTGTAGAGGGTGGGGGATTCCCCTTGTGACTGCAGGGCTGCCCTGGAAC